CCCTGCATCAAGGAAAAAGAGAATGGTTGTGGATGTAGAAGTTAGTAGATGAGCAAATTTTGGTTGGATGCCAAACAAATTAGAGAGGAATCATTAAGTGAGAGCCGTTCATATGCTGGAGAGGCAATTTCCTTGTATCAAATGAGCAATCAATACTGTTACAGAGAGGTCAGCCTTCTCTAGACTACTCTGTGTGCTGACACTTGGTGTATGTGACATTTCATGTATTTCTGTCATGCAACTACTGCATTCATACAAACAAACAAAAAAACCAAACAAACAAAAAAAAAAAATCACTCATTGTTATTGTTTCTTATTGCTGTTATTATCAAGGAAATAAGAATCCTTGTCAGGGACCAAGGAATCTACCAGGCATTGGATAGAACTAAAAATGTTGTCCCAAAGATGGCATTCATTCTTAAGTATGTCACTACCACATTTTTAGGGCCTGGGTTCCTTGGATGCAAGAGCTGGCATTTCTATGTCTTTTACTCAAATGAGGCATGAGTCATGGAAAAGGAAGGGTTAAAAATTAAGAAGATGAGGAAGGGAATAGGGATAGATTAGAATCTTATGATCAAACAAATTTATCCTACCATGGTGAATTTAGGATTGAAGGATTATAAGAATATAGTCCTCTTAATGTGGGTCTTTAAAAAGACACTGCAGTAACTTAGTGACCAGGGAAGCAGTAAATGCAAGTAATTTTTACGGGGTAATTTCAGACGGATAGGAAATGACTTGTCATCTAAACACCCTGTCTGACTTGCCAGATCCCATCACAATGAAAAGGCAATTAACTGATGGATTTAAAACTTCTTTTGAAAAGCTATTCTTCAGTGTTAACTGGTTTGAATTTTTTTTTTTCCAAACAAGAAAAGCTTGTGAGGGTGGGGCAATGCTCAGATATTAGTTTGCTTTCAATGTAGCCTCTCTTTTCTTAACAATTTCTTCCCTAATAAAAAGGCCAGATACTTATCTGACTACAGGACTTTCTAATACTTCCATCACTTGGAGTGAAACTTTTCGAAAGATTTCTATAACCAATACAGAAAGTCATGGTAAATTAACTTACTGTTTCAAGAAGAAAGCATGCTAAAAACATTCAAATCTTAGATTTAAGAAGTCAAATTTTAAACTTCCGCTCCCTGTACAAAGTCATGAGAAACAAAGGTGTGCCTTTTCAAGTCTCCAGCATCATAGAAAATTAGGGTTGGAAGGGACCTCAAAGTCATCTAGTCCAGCCCCCTGCTCAAAGCAGGAACATCCCCAAGTATAGCACTCCAGCCAAGGCTTTGTCTACCTGGGTTTTAAAAACCTCCAAGGGTGGAGATTCCATCACCTCGCTGGGTAACTACCCTCATACTGAGAAGTCTATTCCTAATATCTAACCTAAACTTTCCTTGCTGCAACTTGAGACAGTTACTCCTTGTTCTGTCATCTGCCATCACCGAGAACAGTCGAGCTCCATCCTCTTTGGAACCATTCTTCAGGTAGTTGAAGGGAACTTAAATTCCCTCTCAGTCTTCTATTCTTCAGACTAAACAAACCCAGTTCCCTCAGCCCTCCTCACAAGTCATATGCCCCAGCTCCCTAACCATTTTTGCTGCTTTACACTGGACTTTCTCCAATCTGTCCACATCCTTTCTGTATTGTAAGGCCCAGAACTAGACATAGTACTCCAGATATGGCTTCACCAGTGCTGAATAGAAGGAAATAATCACTTCCCTCAATCTGCTGGCAACACTCCAAATGCAGTCCAGCATGCCGTTTGCCTTCTTCGCAACAATGGTACATTGTTGGCACATATTCAGATTGTTGTCCACTGTAACCTCCCCGGTCACTTACTGCAGAGCTGCAGCTTCAACAGTCAGTTCCCATCCTGTACCAGTCCATAGGACTGTTCCATGCTAAGTGCAGGGCACTACACTTGTCCTTATTGAATTTCATGGATGGGTCCAGATGAGTATGCTCATGTGATATGTGGTGCCACAGATTCCAGTGTCAAAAAATCCCATGCCTGAAGAGTGTGGGACAGCAGACAAGGAAGCAATTTGCGCTGTGTGAAACTGGAGCCTGGCAGGCCATAGTGATACTCCAGGTGCTAGCCAGGGCCCCTGCAGCCAGATTGCTGCTGCTGGAGCCCAGAAGGCCTCCAGGACCCCAGATAAGTCTGCTGGGGCCAGCTCAGGTGCTGGCCCCAGCCCTCTCCCCTACTTCACCCAGGGCAACTTTCTGCACATCATAGCGCGCATGTACAGGCATTCTCTGGGGACAAGTAGCAGCGGCACAATATTTGTCTCTGGGGAAAAGCATGTACACACTGGTCTGGACATACCCCAAAAGAGTTATTTTGGTCCAATCCTCCAATTTATCTAGGTCTCTCTGAATCCCAGCCCTACCTTCCAGCATATCTACTATTCCCCTGCTGACAGTTCACTCCAACCCATCTTCCAGTTTGTTAATAAAGATATTGAACAAAACTGGACCCAGGACTGACCCCTGTGGCACTCCACTTGACAGTGACCCAGGTGGCTGCTAACTAGACATTGAGCAATTGATTACTACCCTTTGAACTTGACAATCTAGCAAGTTTTCTTTCCACTTTACAGTCCATTCATTTAACTCAAGGTAAGCAATTACTTGGGCTGGCAGGCCAATTAATAAGTTCCAGTGATCCGTCAAGGGCCACACCTCTGTCTCCCTTTTCCCATATCTGCCTCCCAGGGCTTCAACCAGCATGGAAGCCTGAACCTGTTCATAGCTTCAACATGCCCCCACCCCATCTGTCCAAAACCAGAGTCTTACCACCTGAAACTTTAGTACCCCACCCCAAGTCTGGACCGGGCAGTTGCTAGCCAAGTCCACATCTGGCCAAACAGCTGGCAGCTTCTAGGTTACAGCTCCAGGCATAGAAGGTGTAGGGGGCACAGTGCAAGGTATGCTACAGCTGCATCTGCTTTTACACTGGTAGCAGCCCTGACCAAGAGAGAGAGATGTTGTTGCATGTTTCTAATCTATATGCAACAGGTGCTACATGAAGCTCAATGTAAAACATAAATAAAGGTTAATAGTCTAAATGGGTATGCATTACAAAAGGAACAAGGAGATAGAAAACAATAGTGCAAATGATACAGGAAATTAATACCTCTCTCATAGCCACAGGCCAAATTTACAGCAGAACTCTGCTCTGAAAGGAAGTTGGTGGTTTTTGAGTTCTTTGGAAAAATATAGCCCTGCCTCTTGGCCTGGAATGTATAAACAATTCAAGCCCAGTAACTCATCCTGTGAAATGTCTTTACATCAAAACTGATTGGAAAAAAAAGAACACAATGGACTGATTAATCTTACAATGAGACATTGAGGAGTGAAAATACAAAGTTCCATGCATAGACTTTCGATAACATTGCCAGGTTTTTCTGTAAAGTGACACATTTCAAAATGACATGCCAAGTCTTTACTGCAATACAGTGTATTATTTGGAAGTGCTCTTTTGAGAATCTGGGTGAGAAGTATATTCCACAGATGAACTCATACTAAACATGGGGTATGCAAACCAGTTCTCCAAAGCTAAACCTCATTAACATATTTGTGTTAACCTAGATTGTAAGAGTAATACTTTTGCTAATACCTTAAAAAGCTATTGACGGAGAATTAGTAATTCTTTGACTTTTTATTTTAATTTATTTTCATTTTTAAACTCTAGTCCTAATATTAACTTCATTTTTGCAGTTAGACCAGAAAGATAAGACTTGGAAAAAAAAAAACTTCTAATCTTTACAAAAACATACATTAATACGCTATAATACACTACAAGTACTTGAAAAATGGAGAACAAAGTAATTCTGACATTTCCCTTTCCTTATTCTTCCCCCCACCCTCCCTCTTTATATTCTTGTGTTACAAAAGGTTTTAAATTCTGACCAGCACTACAGTGCATACAAATGCAGTTGTCTTTGTTTAATACTGTTTTACCTGTCAAAACAATTGATTTGATGAATAGATTGAAAGACTGTCTAGCTTCACTGTAGTTTCTGGAATACTACCTTTAGTTGTTGCCAAGATGCTTTGTTGTAGCTTTTCACAAGAATAAAAGTGACCCTTGTTACACCTACTAGAGCAATTTAAAATCTTAGGGAGGTTACAAGTCATCCAATCTAACAACAGAATTAAAATACCACAAGTCAGAGCACCTTCTATGGTTTTCAAGTTAACTTATATACAGATTGAAAAAAAAAAAAAGGCAGAAGCATGAAAGGAAAAAAGTGCCCTGTCAAACTCAGTTGTGTGACTTCTTCACAAACCCAAGAAGAATTTGTGCTTTTTTGTTATAAGACCAAGAGTGCTGAAGTTACATTTGCTTTAGTAATTTAAAGCTTTCTTCTATATCCTAGTTTGTAATACTGCAAGACAAAACTAAAAACATAGGATAATGAAACAGAAAAAAGTATTATGTCACACTGAAACTATTCAAGGCTGTAAAGACAAGTTTGCATATATTTAGCCTATTAATATCCTCAACAGTAACAAGAAATTAATTCCATGGAACCCCCAAAGATGCAGAGCTAAAAGAAACCTCATGGAATTATCTACATCCCCAGTAGGCATCTGTCTAACCTATTCTTAATAACAATGAAAAAGATTCCACAACATTCATAAGTAGTGTGTTACCAATGTTTCACCACCTTAACAGTTAGAAAGTTCTTCCTTATATGCAACCCAACTCTTCTTTGCTATAAGCTGACTTTTTATTTGCCCTCCCCAAGTAGCTGCAAAGAACAAATGGTAACTATTCCATTTATAACTTTTTACATATTCAATATGAATGTCCTATTCCAGTCTTCTCTTTCTTGAAGAAAATCAGTTCCTTTCCTCATTGGTCATGTTCCCTATATGCCTTATTCATGCCACTCTGTTCTGAATTCTCCATTTCTCAATATTCTACAACAGGTGCAGTGTCCCAAACTAGACACTGTACTTAAGCTGAAGCCTTACAAGCACTGAATAGAGCACAACAATTGCCTCTCAGATCCTGAATATGACGTTTATGTTAAAACATCATTCCTTTGATATCTGGCTTTTTGCAAAAGATTCACACATTGGATGTATAGTTTTGTAATTGGACACTATTTCTGTTGTGTAGTACTTCACACTTGTTTTTATTGAATACTGGATTTTATTGAATCTTGTGGAATTCATTCTATCAAATTGGTAAAGATAATTTGGAAGAGAAAATCAGAATTCAAAAAAGTGCTAGCCAATCCCATGCCACAGGTAAGTGCCATTTACAATTCGAGAAGTTCATTGACTGTTCTATTATTAATGAAAATATTTAATAAAAAAAACTGGGATCAAGGAAAATTCCAAGGAAGCCACACTTGATATGTCTTCTAGTTTGATACCTACACCTTGAGAATTACTCCTTGAAAGTAACATTTGAATAATTATTTAACTAGTCGTGCATCTACTTGATTGTGATTATAGTTCTATAGTTTGCTAATGACAGAGGAGACATTCTTGATTTAAAGCTATATTGTAAGCTGTGTCTGACTTATCTGGTAGGCCACCTACCTGTCCCATTTTTTTTCTCTATTTAAATTATTTTTAATAGAATCACTTACAGATTTGGTGCTAAATTCAGACCAACTCTATTGATAGTAATAGGTTTCTACCAGTATATTAGGACATAATTTGGACCAGTGTCATCAAAATAGGCAATCAGTAACATTATGTTGCTCATATTCTTGCATTTCCAATTAAGGGAAAAATCTTATTTTGGACTAAAACTATATAAACCTATATGTGACAGGAATTCCTAACAACTTCCCAGTCCCATTCACCAAGAAAAGGAGGGGAAAATACATTGTTGGCTTCTGTACAAATTGTACCAGAACAATGTCATTTTGGGCTGCAGGACAGAAGCACTGAGGCTAACTAACTGGATAGCTAAGAAGAGTATATCTACTGGTTCTCGTAAACACAAAGGGGAAGGATTTGGAAAGCCTTTCCTGCCTGCAAGTGAAAAAACTGCCAGGGAGAAAAACTTGGAGACCAGAGATAGACTGTCTTTTTGGATCCTGCTGTATGCATTATACTAGTGACCTCTCAAGGGATGCTAGACTGACCCAGGAATTCTGATATTTTTCACCTTTCTTTCAGCAGCTCAGGTAGACAATGGGCAAAAGGTTGTAATGTTCATTAGATCCAAATTGGTAGGTACTCATAGTGAGTACTCATTCAAAAGGGGTCTGGTTTCCCGGCAAAACAATAACATTAGGAACCTTGTTCACTTACAGTTCGGTACAGCAAGCAAAGAGCCCCTCTTTCCCACCTCATTAACCTTTGTATGAGGAAAGGATGTAGTGATCCTAGCAATAGTCCTGGACCAGGTTAAAGAGGGATTGGGCTAATGGAAAAATGCTCCACCAGTTAGGACAGATTACAAAAGAAAGATAAAATCTGCACTGGACAAAATTGTCAGGTAGCTCCCATGTGTGCCACTAAATAAAGCTACTGCTTGCTTAAACTACATTTCTGCTGGAGTGCTTTTCTTCACACAGGGTCCACCAGGGCAATTACTCCAGTGATTTTAAGGTACTTATTGCAAGGGCTCATGGCCCAAGCATGTTTGCGGCAACCACTGGCATTTCCTCATTTTACATGCCAGTTAATGATCCATGTTGATCTTTCTTGGTTTAATTTATAAATTGCTGCACAGTTAACTACCACTAAGGGGGCCATGTTCATTGCAGAATGCCGGTATTCAAATCTTGCATAACTGAAAACCAGTTGTATAAGTTCACGTATCTTAAACATTAAATATCCCAAACCCAGGTTCAGATTCTTCCATTGTAAACAAATTTTATGATCTAGGTATACAGGATTTCTCCCCTCGCCCATGAATGATAAGAGAAAAACTGTAAAAAATACCAACATTTTAATGAAGTTACTATATAAGTTATAAAATTCTAATATCCATGCATGTTCTTACATGCTCTGTTTATTTTCAACTTGTTCCAGTTTGAAAAAAAAAATCACAGAAAAAACAGGGTTGGCAGGGAACTTAGGAAGTCACTTCATCCCACTGCTCAAGGAAGGATCAACCCTGTCTAAACCATCCCAGCTGAGTGTTTGTCTTAAACACTGAAATGGGAGACCATAATTTCTCCAGGTAGTCTGTTCCAGTATTTAACCATCTTTATTAGTTAAGATAGTGCGTCTCAACCTTCTTAGACACCCCTCCATAACTACGTTTAGCAGCACCCCATTTAAAAATTTTATTTATTTATTACAGTGTGTAAAATACATATTTGTAACAAATTAGTCCATTATGTTAGCCACAGATGTGGTCATGGAGAGAGTCATCCTCTACCATAGTGCAATGTGAGTGCAGAAAGTGGTAGGCAATTATCCCCTTTACCTGATCTGCCCCAGATTCGACCTCAGGCGTCCCACAGGGTTCAAGAGACAGGGAGATGACATGGCTGAAACACAGAGCTGAGAAAGCAAGGAAGCGAGGGCCATGTCATGACCTCAAGAAGTGCCCACCACTCCAGGGGAAGCCCAGACAGGTTCCTACTGCAGCCACTGCTTACTCTTGCTGTGATTTTTGTAGACTACAGCAGTGGTCAGCAAGCTGCTCAGAGCAGGCAAAGGGGACGTCTATGGGGATGCAAAGGTGAACACCAAAGTTTGGGAAATGCAGGCCCAGAGCACAAGGAGACAGAGGAAACTTAGGAGGGTACTGATCCTTAAGTCAGTACCTGGGGTTTCTGCTCCCCCTGCCAAACCCCTCCTTGTTCTCCCTAGTTACACCACTGAGACCTCCCTTTAAGCCAGGCTGCAGTAGCAGGTCCTCCTACAACAGCCACTTCCTGGTCCAGCCTAAAACTGCACCTGTAGGAAACAGAGATGCAAAGGCAGTTTTAAGTGGCATAACCATGCCAAACCCTCAAAAGGGTCTCAAAGCACCCCAGTTGAGAACCAAAGTGGTTAGGATGTTCTTCCTAACATCCAACATAAATTTTTCTATTTCAAATCTAAGACCATTATTTCTTGACCTGCACCCAGTGGACATGATGAGTGTCACAACCTTTTCATAAACATCTCAACATATTTTAAGGCTTTTGTTTAATTTCTTCTCGGTATTTTTTCCAAAGCTAAAATTGAGTTTTTCCAGACTTTCCTTATAAGTTACATCTCCTAGACCAATGGTTGGCAACCTTTTGCCACCACTGAAAGCTGCTCATGGCCCAGCCTACAAACTGGGCCACAAATACCCAGGCTGTCCTGGCAAATCAGCATATATTGAGGAGAAAAAGGATGGGGGAAAAGCATGTGCTAGGACCTTGGGGGTATGTTGCAGTGAATGGAATAAACAGGAAATACCCCTGTCTTAGATCTGTAATAATTTCTGTTTCTCTCCACTGGAATATTTCCAATCTATCTATGTCTTTCTTGAGGTATGGTGCTCAAAACTGGGCACAGTACTTTAGGTGAGGCCTCAATGCTGAACAGAGTGGAAGAATCACTTCCCCCGACTAGTACACAACACTCCTGATAACGTTAACAGCATACTGGGCACAATGTTATTAATATTTAGTCTACTATACTCCCTATAAGCCTTCTCTGCAACACTGCATCCTAACCAGTCCTTTTCTAATTTGTACATGTATATTTTATTTTTCCATCCTTAGTACAATACTTTGTACTTGTCCTTACTGAATTTCATCAGATTATGTTGGACCATTTCCCTAATGTATCAAGGTCATTTGAAATCATTGCCACCCAATCCATCTTGGTGTCATCTACAAATTCGCTAAGTGTGTACTCATTTCCATCTACCAAGTCATTCATGAAAATGTTAAATAGCACTGGACACAGGACAAACTCCTGGAGAACCTTACTTGATACCATCTCCAAGTCAGGCACTGCATCACTGATTACTATACTTTCATCATGATAATCCAATAAATTATTCACCTACTTTACAACAGTTTCATCTGGATATTATTACAATAAAGTGATTGTCTATGTTTTGTTCCCAAAAGAAAATTACAGCTCAGTAATAAGTTTGAACAACCTTATTAAGCACAGAGGTCAAAGAAGTTATTGTATTCAACTGTAATGAGAGGGGTCCTGGTTTTCTCTGTTTAAAAATTGCATACACTCTGATTTTAAAAAGTCCAAAATCTGCATTTTTCTGCAATGAAAATGAAATGTTACTATATATAGGTATCAATTTGACACAATGTTTTATTGATACATTTACAATTTTAAAGCAATTTGTAAGCCTACCATGCCTCTATCATTATAATAAACTAAACTCTAAATACCTATATATTTTGACATTTGATTTTGTTTTTTTATCATGGAAGCTCAGAGCTCCCTCTGCCCCTTTTGCTCACCAGGATGTGGGTGCAGCTGCAGTTGTCTCCCCACTGCTTTGTGGCACTGAGCAACCCCGATATGCTTGTGCCCTGCCCACAAAGACTTGTGTGGGTGGCAATGGAGCAAGTTGGAGGCCTGTGATACTCCCTGCCCTACAGTATTCCCCCCGCCGCCCCGCCCTGGGCTGGGGCTCCTGCATTGCACCAGGCAGCCTGGACAGGTAAATCTCTGGGGTGGGGGCAGGGGGACAGGACTGCAAGGCAAGGGCTTGGGGACAGTGTAAGGCATGTGAACGTGTGTGGAGGGAAAGGGTGTGCAGGGGTGGGGGGGGGTGTCTGCCCCTCCCATGG